TTTTACTGATGTGGAAAACATCTCTGAGTAATTTTCCTTCATTAACGATCTCCTTATCCTCCCGAGGGTCTTTACCTTACCGTGCTGAGAGGGCTTGCGTACTTTGATGAAGTTACGGGCTATGTCGGCGGCAGCATAGCTGCTGGTAGGGTCTCCCATGCCGAAGAGGAGGTAACAGAACAGTCAGACCAAGAAGGACCCAGGCCTAATCCAAGGTGTTATGCGACCCGTGCCAAAGGATGAATGGTATCTGAGCATCATCAGGTATCACTAACGGAGCCTTTGGGATATCAGGCGACCTACCAAAGTATCCAGCCTTACATCCATACAGAGGGCACCATGGATATGGACAACCCTTTCCCCCATACTCGTAGGACTCGGATACGAGGACTTGGATACGAGAAGGGTCCTGAAGGGTCTTAACAGCAATGTTGAGAGTAATACAAACAAACCTGCAACACAGTAAGGGGGCGTCGGCCGGCCTTCACAAGTGATGAGGGGGTTTGATATTGGTCTCATACAAGAACCCTGGGTGTACAGGGGAAAATTAATGGAATTGGGGGGCATCAGAGGGGAGTTAATTTATAACAGAACCTCAGAGACCCCAAGAACATGCATAGTTATCCGTTAAGGAATAAATACACTGCCGTTGGGTAATTTGTGTTCCAGAGACTTGACGGCAGTCAAAATAAAGATGGCTGGTGGGGGCGGACCTGAGGAAATCATCATTGGATCAGCATACCTCCCTTACATCAGTCCGAAATCACCACCAACCAAGGAAATGGAGGAGTTGGTTAGGGCCTGGCAAGCAGAGGGACTACAACTTATAATTGGCTGTGATGCCAATGCAATGGGGAAGCACCAACACCAACGAAAGAGGTGAGCACTTGCTACAGTTCATCATGGCAAATAACTTGGACATTTTAAACATAGGCAATAAGCCTACTTTCGTAAATGCGAGACGTAGTGAAATGATAGACGTAACAATAAGAACTACATTTGTGAGTAACTATGTTCGGAAATGGAATGTGTCCGATGAGGAAAGTTGTTCAGACCATCGACACATAAACTTTGAAATCGAAGGGATTCAGACCTCGACCTTAACATATCAAAATCCCCGGAAAACAAACTGAGGAGCCTATACGGTGGACCTGGAAATCTGTTTAGACCGCATGGATTTTGACATCAGAGATTCCATAGACCTAGAGTTGGCAGCAGATCGATTACAGGGAGCTATCATCTTTACGTACAACAAACATTGTCCCATAGTAAATCAGAGATGAAACAGGAATGTGCCCTGGTGGAATGAAGATCTGGGGAGGATGAGGTTCATGGGACCAATACAGAAGGTCTCTAACTGAGTATAACAAAATGCTGAGAAAATCCAAGAGACACGTGGAGAAGGCAATGTGAGGAGGTCAAACAGACCCAAGCATGTGCCAGGCTCTACAAAATACTCTCGAAGGAACCTCAGGTCTCAATAAATAATTTGAATAAACAAATACGGGGGAGTATACAAAAACTCATTTCAACCCTATAAGTCGCCGAGACCGGATAGCATATACCCAGTAATGCTTCAAAAGGGACCGGAAGTACTTTTTGAAAAATTGTGTATAATTCTCAGGGCAAGCTTAGCACTGGGACACATACCAAAAATTTGAAGACTGATCAGGGCCACCTTCATTCCGAAACCTGGGAAAATCGGACAGGCCTCGGTGAAGGCTTTGAGACCAATTAGTCTCATGTCATTTGCGTTGCAAACGCTAGAAAAACTACTTGACAGGCATATCAGGGACGTAGCACTGGATATCAGACCATTACATCGAGACCAATATGCATACAGGTCAGGTATGTCAACAGAAACGGCTCTATGTCGGGTAACAGATAAAGTAGAATGTACTTACAAAAACAAGGAAGTATTTTTAGCTGCTTTCTTAGACATTGAGGACGCATTTGATAATACGTCGTTAAAATCAATCATCCAGCTGTCCAAGCTGTAGGTGGATAGACTGCATGCTTAAGGGAAGATTGGTATAAACAACCATTATGGGGAACCAGTCGTGGCACGGTTAGCAAGGGGCTGTCCTCGGGGGGGGTCCTATCCCCTCTGTTATGGAACCTTGTAATGGACGAGCTACTATGTCTTTTGAACCATAATGGGTATAATGTAGTAAAGGGATGCATGCAGCAGGCCCTGAACATTATAACAAGATGGACCGAAGAAGAAGGGCTTGACAAAAGCCCATCCAAATCGACCATAGTAGCATTCACCAAGAGGACTAAAACGGAGGGTCTCGGACCTCTAAAACTTCGAGGTGAAGAAATACAAGTGTCGGGAAAGGTTAAATATCTGGGAGTAATCCTAGATTCCAAACTGACCTGAAACCAACACTTGGACAGGATAAAGAGAAAAGCGGAGGTAGCATTGAAGCTCGCCAGACGCACCTATGGAAAAACATGGGGGCTAAAACCAGGCATGGTATTTTGGCTATACACGATGGTGGTTAAACCCATGATAACATACGCATCTCTGGTCTGGTAGCCAAAGATGAAGCAGGCGACCTCCATCAACAAGCTAGGCAAGGTGCAAAGGCTTGCATGTTTGGGAATGACGGGAGCAATGAGAGCTACCCCTACAGCTGCATTGGAGACACTCCTGAATCTATCTCCTTTATACTTTGTGATAATGGAGGAGGCCAGGATGGGCCAATTCAGACTGGAAAACTCACCGAACTACAAAAGATCGGACCGAACAGAAATTTCGAAACAAGTGGAGCACATATTGAATATGTGCACGGACCACATGACACCGAAGTACACCTTTAACACAAACTTCACGGCCAAAATCATAAGCCGTTACGAGTAGAAGACCATTAGTCATCCCGAAAACATGTTTGGAAAAAACACCTGGTATACAGATGGATTGAAGACCAATCATGGAATGGGAGCTGGAATATACCGAGCGGCTAGTAATCTGAACTACATCTATATGCTAGGACTATACACATCCGTCTTTCAGGCGGAAGTGTATGCTATCTTGCAGTGAGCAAGGCTTATTAAATTGAGACCTCAAAGAAATGAGCAGATCAATATTTTTACAGACAGCAAGAGCGCACTAGGGGCTCTGACAAACCCGAAGGTGACATCAAAACTGATCTGGGAATGCCTTGAAGAACTAAATGAACTGGCAAACAGGAACAAAACAACTTTGTACTGAGTGCCAGAGCATTCAGGAATCACAGATAATGATGAAGCTGATGAATGCGCTAGACGCGGATCATCAACTTCATATATAAGTCCTGAACCAGCTCTGGAGTTACCAAAATCATTGGTACGAAACCAGATTAGGACATGGACCAATAAGAAACACACAGAGTCCTGGACAAAAGTACCTGGCAACAAACACAGTAGAACCTTCATTAGGGAACCGTCCGAGAAAAGAACCGAAGAACTATTTCAATATAGTAGGAATCGGCTCAGAATAATTAACAGGGTTACTAACCGGTTATCGTTCGCTTAGAGGACACCTGAATAAAATGGGGCTGTACAACGGAAACAGCTGCAGATTATGCAACGAAGGGATAAAAATAGCTCTCCAGATCTTATGCGAATGTGAGGCACCTAATCACAGGAGGCAGGCAATATATGGACATACAAAATTACGCCCAGAAGAATATGATGAACATCCAACACGGAACCTGTACAAACTAGTACAGGAAACGAGACTGATGGAATGTGTGTCATGAGAAGATGGGAGAATAAACGCAATAAGCCCAAGAGGCTGCAGTGTTTTCTGGAGACTTGGACTGAATGGACAAGTCAGACAGCTCCCAAGGTAAAAAAAACGATCTCCTTAGTTATCCAAGGTTTATTGTTATTAGATATTTTATGTATATTGGTTTGATGTAATTCCGGAGAAAAGGCTCTATCGAATAGGTCGTTGAGAAATGAATCATGAAAAGTAGATAATTTTTCATCAGCATCACCATTACTGGAGTATATAGGTAGCCAATCCTCACGAGCCAATAAAGCATTCAAAAAGTTAATGTTTTGATCACAGAAGGATCTTTCAAGAAAATAAATGGTTATTTTCTCAGTAGGAGCGGTAAAACTATACATCGGAGTGAGAAACTTGCATTGTTATCAGTGAAATTCTTATGGAAGTTGAAATTAAAATCACCACAAACGATACGAGAGGTTTGCACTTTTTTTTCAAAAAGAGAATCGAGAAATAGTTCCATATTATGTATGAATGACAAACTATTGGAATATGGTGGTCTGTAAAAACAGTTTACACGATTTTGGAGTTGTGAGCGGTTATTTCATCAACTCATTACCTGTGACTGACGCACCACTATAATTTTACACATTCTATGCAAATGAAAACATGGAGTTGATGATTTGTTATATGATGGAATCGGCCGATACATGACTAACGTATTCTGAAAACACTTTATTGTGAGATTTTCACTAGACAGTTTTACGAAAACGCAACGCGTTTTCGTAAAACTGGTTTGATTAATGATTCAATTCCATCATTCTGTAATATGGTATATAATAACACATATTGTCAATTTCTGCTTAACAAATGATGTTTTCCGACATTATTGAGGAGTGAAATCGAAAAAGTGCTCTCAAAGAAGGCTGATCCAGCTGAAATTGAAGATAGAGCAAACAGTATTTCACTTACTTCATGTAAAATTCTGAAGAGAGGAAGAGAATTTCCTATGAAGGAACATCTTCAGAAATTTTCGATATTACTCTCTATCCAATAATAAGGTTTCCACAAGGAATCTAGTTGCACAAGCGTAGTCCTACATATCGTCGACGATATAATAAGAACAACAGATCGAGGTAACTGCAATTGTTTGATTTTGTTAGATTTCATTCGAGCATTCTACATACTCAACCATGCATTGCGGGTTCTATTCGATGGTTCGCGTTAGCAGAGAATTAGTAATGATCGTGTTGTATCGTTCATGAATATGAAAATAACTCACCTCTGCAGAAGCCATCTTGTTGCTCTGCTTTGTATCCCCAATCATATTTGGTATTCTGAAAATATCCAGTTAAAAATGGGTTTTCTGTTAGATGGCTGACCTCTTCTCCTGCCTCGAGTAAAAGAACATTCCATTCTGGTATTTCAGACAGTCTATTAGCTAAAACAGAACCAGATGGTCCAGATCCCACTATGATGAAATCATACCTTGCATTCGCATCTGAAAAAATGATTTGATACATTTCAATTTGTTGTTATGTTTATTAACTCATCTGAGATAACAATTTGTTCGGGCCAGTCTCAACTCCCTACACTGTAGGTTGATGGACTGACACCTTTCAGAAAACAACTACTCCTCTGGCTACATCTTCATGTTCACTCGCAAATGTTATGGCCTTGCACTATTCGATTAATCAGAGTCACAACGTACTGTTTCATTGTTCAATGAAGTATGATTGATAGTCTGAATGCTATTTTTACTTCTACTACTTTACTACTGCAGTTGTAAGCAGTAGTAAAGTAGTAGAAGTAGTAGAAGTACTTTACTAACGATCCTGTATTTGAATACACTGTCATTGATTTTCACACCACTCTCGAAATCTGGATATAAATTCTTTCGATACTCCAAGGTTTTGTGATGTGAATTTATCCATTTCGCAGTCACTATTTTGTTGTAGCAACCGCACAATTCCTGAACTGGAGTTTATGGAAAATAATTCACTTCGAGAGGTTTTGCTAAATGACTTCCACTATCATTTGGCCTACAGTACTGCATCTGATGTTGACGTTTGTTATCTTCATGTTACAAACTTCCAGTATGCCGAACACAGTAAAACATATTTCTAGAAATATTTAATACGCTAGATCCTGAACTGACTCCTTCGAGTGAGTTTCATTTTCGCAATGCCATTGCTAAAAGTCATCCAAAAGTAAACCGAAAACGCACGCTAGACATCACCTTATCGATAATATATAACGTGGTTGACGATAGTTCAAGATTGAATCACGTACTCTGAGAGTCACATTTTGTGTGAAGTCAAACTATTTCGGAGTAACTCTGGAGTTATTTGTGAGATGCACTTGTGCTAACTGTGTTGAACTTCGCCTTTTGTTATGTCAGCAACTAGCTCTGTAATTCATTTAAATATTTATATGTAACTATAGCTGGGTTAACAATAAAGACGATTATTATTATTATTATTTGTGGATCGAAATCAGAAAGCATGATCAAAGTCACCCTGTCGATGACCTCCAATATCATTCAGAAGCGAAATTTTTCGAAATTATCTTAACAAGGTCGTATAAAGGTCAAAGCTGAAAGGCGTTCTCGAAGTTGGTTTGCAAGAGCGATGTAGCTCGAGGTCGCTCGAGGTCGTTATCAGCGATAGTCAGTTCATTCGATACTAAACTGACTTGTCAGTGAGGCAACAAAATAGTTGAAACCGATCAGCCGATTTTAATTTTTTTTTCAATTTTCCTCGTTCTTACTATCCAGTTTCACCAGTTCCACTTGTCACCTCACAAACCACAAGAGGAGACTAAATCATCTGTCGGTAACAAATAAGACAGATGGGTATCCGCGGCTAAGCTAAACAGTGGAGACGGGAGTGGGTTAAACAAATTAGCAAATTTCAAATAGATCTTAATGGGCGCCAAGTAAATTTAATCCTCCAGATACCCTAAGTAACTCACAATATCAATAACTTACCAATTAATATTGGANAGATGTCAACCAACAGCTGTCTCTTAACCTTGTTTACGAATATTTACAAAATATATTGTTCCAACCTATTTTCAACTATTTACCAATCCTTATTCATGCGATGGAATAGAAACATATAAGGTAAGTCGCCATAACCTTCCCTTTCAGTACAAATATTAGAGCATTCATATTATGCAGAATATTTACCGAAAATATCAAACAGTATTCAGAAACCCAGAGATAACTAATATTGTTTTTCAGGCGATATGGCTCTAATATGTAAGTAAACCTTCTGGAAGTGATGAATAACAATCTATGCAAGAAATATTCTTGGAAAAGTATAGAGAATGAGGCAGACAACGGCTGAAAAATGATAGGTGAAGTAAACTGAGAAACAAACAATAACAACTAATTCAACTTAGCGAGGAATTTTGGATCTCCAACGCCGATTGGCAATAGGAGAATGCGTAAGTACTGGTCAAAGTGTATTTGAGTATACTCCTGGTGAGCAACAATTCTGAAACACTTTTTATTCAGAGGAAAACCAGTTTCAAGATAGCAAGAACGAGGAAAAAGAAAAAAAAAATTAAAAATCGGCCGATCGGTTTCAACTATTTTGTTGCTGATACTCAAGGTGTATTCAATTCCCTTCCTGACGAGCAACAATTTGAAATACTTTTCATTCCAAAGAAAAGCAGTTTCAAGGTAGCAAGAATGAGGAAGTAAGAACGAGTAAAATGAAAAAAAAAATTAATAGGCACAAGCAAAAAAATCGTTGTTTTGGTAACTATTTAGCAACTAATTAGCTACAAATTGATGTTTTTTTTGCAATTTTGCTGGATTTGCCTTGCTAGCCTGATAGGGCTACCTTGCCGATGGAATATAACGTAGTTGAAGGTCATTCAAGGTAGAGTCAGGCAACTCCGATGCATCTTAAAATAGTCGCGTGACGTCAAGTTCATTTTGAATTGAATGCTTCAAGATATAAAAGAAGATTCTAAAATCGGCCTGAATGAACTACTATTATATTATTGACTTGAATCACATCACTATATATATTGTTTAAAGTTCTTACCATCATGTCTTGTTTGCGGGTAGAGAGGATGAAACAGTGGCCTATTTTCTGTTGAATTCAGCAAGAAGTTCATCATATTTCCTATTATTTGATAATTTCCATTGATAACTGGTAGAAAAGTAATCAACATCACTTGCTGGAGATAACATGTTTGTTGTAAAAGTATATTAATCAGTCTAACAAAAGTACTCCTTTCACACACCAGATTTACGAAAAAATCAACAAACTAGATACCGAAAATGAATTTCTCAATAATGAAAGTATGTATTGTCATAATTTATTCAAGTGCCACTACATTGTGAGATTTTCAATGGACAGTTTACGAAACACGTGTTGCGTTTTTATAAACTGCCCACTGCAGAATCTCACAATGAAGTGTTACTGGAATAAGTTATAGATTTTTATCAGGTATCGGCCATAATCATCAAGCTGTAAATATACTGTTATGATTTAATATCCAATCATTCAATAAAATATTGAAACATCTCAAATGTGTTAAAAAGTGGATATCCATTTTTTTGGACAATTCGTTGCCGTTCTTCCACAATTCGAAAATTTTGAATGGAAATGTTTCTCTTTCTACATTTTTATTTTTGTATTTAACAATTCAATATGAAACACCATACAGATCTTCAATTGAACGGAAAACCTAATTACGGTATAATTTTCTTGTTTCACCATAAACAAACAAATTGTTTTGTCGTTGCTTAATTGAATATCAGTTTTGAAAATATTTCATTGTTATATAGAATTCAAAATAGGCGATATTCCCCCTGCTGTCGATGTCAATTTTTCCACTGAGTTAGTGAAGATTCTTTCGACGCACATTTTTTTTTTTCTACTGAATTGGTAGAAATTTTGTCAACAATCACTTTTACTTGATTTAGTGATTTTGGGACAATAGGACCAAATTCAGAAATCATGAGGATGTATAAAAATATTGATGCAAATCAACTTACAACATCAAAAACCAAGTTTCAAAAATTCAAACTAGTTTCAAAAAGTTGGGAAAGCTTGTATCAGTCATGTGAAAAAGTAGAAACACTTTCAAAAATCAACATGATTCGGAAGAAATATTCACTCAACACCAAGATGGATGTGTTGGTGAAAATATACCAAAAAGTATTCACACGAAATACATAAACACAAATTCCAGAAATTCTATAATATTCACCAAGAAAAAATACAATAAAAACAGTAAAACTATTTCAAAACAGAGGCTCAAACTTACTGGTTTGTAGATATAATTGAACGTATAACGTAGATCCAATGTAGACATGTGTGTTTTCCATTTCCGTCACCATGGCGGTGGAAACTAATTATGAATTCCAGTTTTACAGATATTACCAACGTGAGGAGATATCAAAAATTAATATAGTTGAAAAAACTAAAACTGAACTATATTCATTTTTCATTTTTTAGTTTCATATGCTAGAAAAGCGTGTTTCTCTTTAAACTATATTTATTTTATCTAAACTTTGGAATCAATCAACCGTATATTGTTTAGAAAAATGACAATTGATATTTTCGTACAGCGCCATCTGCCCGCGAATAGATCAAGCAATAATGTCGATATATCACGGAGGTTACATACAGAGCCATCTGACCGCGAATAAATCAAGCAATAATGTCGGTAATTCTTTCAAATACAGATCCCGAGCTTGAGAGTTACAAACATACATACATACTGGTGAAGCTAATATAAAGCGTGTAATTAGGTCGCTATCTAATTGAAGCAGTGGCATTTAAGAAATCCTGTTCCGGCGGAGGTGACCTGGTTTCGATGGGGTAACAACAGCATTCTATGGATTGAAGTGAATTTTTGTATTATCTACATTAACGAATCGGGGAAGAAAAGTTTTGGCTTTTTATTTTTCCTTCTGTACAGGGTGTAACTGAATAAGTGTGAAACATTTAAGGAGGTGATTCCTCATCGAAAAAAAGATAGGATCTTTCATATAAAGAAATTTCATTGGAGCATCCCTTGATAAGATACAGCCCCTTAAAAGGGGTACATAAAATTTGTATAACAATTTTTTTCACAAGCACTGAAGAAGATACAATATCGAAATTAACCTGACGTTTTGTACTACCAAAAAGACACTTAGCCAGTAATTTATTTGATTTACCCCATGGGGTATTGTTCTCATATATTAAC